GGTGTTAATTCCCATTGCATTTATTGCTAATTTCTTCCTACAATCAAAAAGGGTGTTAAAGATGTTTTCTTTTAATGATTTGCTACACGTTGTTTATGCCTGGCAATATAAATCTAGTTTCCGAGGACAGAAAGTGCTGAAGTGCAGATTCTAGCAGCAATCACCAGACCAGAGATAGGTGGTCAGAGCAATGGAGGACTGCAGGCAAAAATATCACGACTGCCCTGTGGAGTTTGATCTTCTGAGCCCCAGGGTGAGAGAGTGGGGTTTGGGGGGTAGCTGCAGGGGGACAGACAGAACAGCGGACTGCAGACAGACCCGCAGGAAACTCTCAGGACAGTCTCGCTCTTGGTAGGGACTGACCTCACTAGAACCCCTAACCAGAGCAAGTCTGGATTCAAATTTGAATTCATAAGCTGACTAAATACATTGATTGTTCCTTCCCACTGCTGCCCGCCCCCTTCCAAGTTTTAGCAAACAGTAAGATTTGACCTGTCCAGCAGCTTGAGATTCAATGGATGAGCAAGCTTATTTATATATAACAGCTTTTGTGCAAAACAGATCTCATTTATAATACTGAACGGTGCATTTTTATTCAAGATTCAGATGTCTACATTTTTGCCCTTCTTTCACAGGCAGGCCATCTACCTACATTCACCTGCATGCCACAGAGAAACTCTCCATCCCTACGCATACCCTGCCGTGACTGCACTGCCAGGAAGGGTTCAGGCTAACGTCTGCCAAGCTGCATTGGCTGTAGTTTAAGCCGGTGGTAAGATGACAGCACGTGACATTTATTTAAGAGTCAGAGATGAATGCACAACATATATTATGTCTACTGACCACTTCTAATTTAATCAAAAGTTCCTGGCACGAACTTCTCAAAACTTACCATGTGTTTCCTCATCCCACTTCTGTATCTTATTTCCACAGTCAGAAAATGCTTCCTGCTAAACTCATGAAAGGGAAATCCAACTCAAGCAACAAACGCAGCCTTCACAGAGCAGGTAAAAACCCAGCTGCTCGTCCCTAGCAATTCTCTAGTTGGACTTCGTAACTCCTCTGTTAATACCAGGCAGATCTATTTTATTTTTAATATGAATATTTGTTAATATTTGCTAACATTTTATGTTACTATTATAATGAATATTAATGTATCATTTCCTAATATTACTAGATACTTTATAATAATATTGTCAATGACTTCTCTTATTGAATTGGATCAAATGAAACATTTCATTTAACCCACAACAATTTTTTAACTGAAAGCTACAATATGGAATTGACTGTTTTTATTAAGAGCTGAAACATACATCATAAATAAATATGCATATATATATATACTTATACTGTTGTAACTATAAATACATAAATTAAAAGGCAAATCAACTAAAAAGCTGTACTGCTATTTTATGATCCCAGACAGATTCAGGAAAGTCCAGCACTTGCCATGAGCTGACTAAGGTAACATAACCGTCTACATTTAGACACTTACGTTTGAAAAAACATCACAAACTGACTTAAGCTTTTCTCCTTCCTTTGCTATCACTTCCTCATATAGCAAGTCAAAAACCAGATGTTTTGGAGACATTCTGCTTTTTATGTATCTGCGCTCTACGCTCTGCCTCACTGTAAACTTCCACAAGTGTTGGCACGACATTGTGCCCAGTTTCTGAGCGGCGGGAGCGATTATTTCCCAGCCCCTGTATTTGCCCCTTCTGGTCTCGGTAAGACAAGTGGAATGGCAGGTGAATGCCAAGGCCTTTGTGGGGAAAAGGAGGTGGTTTCAGAAGACCGAGTGGGATTTTTTCCCTGGTCAACAAGAGTAGTTGGCAGAGAGGACGTGCAGGAGATAGATAGTAGTTGACAGAGTTCACCTTGCACTGGCTGAACCCTCCTTCCAGTGAAAGCTTTGTCTCCTGGGCCTTTGGGGTCTTGTGTGCACAGCTTCTCAAGAGAGAGGTCTGAATTTGTCTAAAAGAAGACAGATGCTTCATTTTCTTACAGAGAGTAACTTCACCAGCCCAGAGGCTGGAGCATTCCTCTGGAACTGGGGTGACTCAAAACGGTAAGGGACTGAAGCCCGGCTCTCCTCCATCCCTCATGATGGTCTTGGTCACCAGAGCACACATGAATCCCTGTCACTGTGTCACCTTGTGTTTGGGTGTCCTTCGCCACATGCAAAGATTCTAACCAGTCCCAATCAAGTTTCCAAAAGATTCCCTTTTCACTTCTGTGTTCATTAGACAAGGCAATGAGTCATGAAAAAGAAAAAGCACCAGTTTCCATCGTGCAGCATGGAGAATACATCCTATACCCTGCCTTAAACCACAGGCAAGGGAGGTATTTACTTCCCTTTTCAGCAGTCTTTCAGCAATCAGACTATTGCATAACTCTTGTTTCATTTGTTACAAGCCTGCTTTTAACAGGGTTAAGCATGGAAGGTCTCTGCTTGCGGCAGTATCAGCTAACTCAGTAATGTTATCCTTCAAAAGGAGCAGCAATTCCATTTGCACAAGTCATCTCTGATGGCTGGCAGGAAAACACAGGCTGCCAAAATCAGAAAATGGATTTGGAGTTCCCATAGGCAGGGGCTAGGACGAGACCCTGGGAAAAGTGTTGAAGGGATGCAGGGAGAGCTTGGGCGAAGCACGGCACTCCCAGGAACACAGGTTAGGAGTGCCTGACTGTTGGGCTTGATCTCATATCTCAACATTTAATGCCACTATCATCTCTATTACACTCCCTTCACATAATCCTGATGAAACTGTGTAACATCAGAGAAAAAGCAGAGGTAGAGGAGATACTTTAGCTCTCAGAGAACATAGTGGATTTTTATTTCATTACAAACATCCTGCTCTTTTAGACAGAAACTTACTCTTAGCTCAGAGGCAGGGTTAATCATATAGGTGGAGTAGGCTCTTGGCTTCACTTTTGACCTGGGGAATTTCTGCAGATCTGTTACTGCCACACGCAGGAAATAGCTGAGTCTAGGGGTAAGGAGAACAAACAGTCATTGCTTTTATTTGGAGATTTCAGGGGGAATTTTCTTTTTTTGCCTCGGACATCAATGACATTCCAACACACACCAAAATTAGATAAAAAAGCTGCAAATAGTAACTGAGAAAAGTGAGATCCCTAATTAAATTTTAATTATCCTGTGTGTGTGTCCTGTGTGTGTGCACACATACGTAGAGACGGAGAGAAACAGAGAGAACCCAAAAGAAAAGAATCAGCAAATCCTTATTCCAAGTAAACTGGTTAAAGCTCCAACATCTACAATCTGACACCAGTGAAACCACCCTGTTAATTTAACATAACATATTCAACATAATAGAACATAAACAATGAAACATAACCTTCAGTTAAAAATTGTCTCCCTTTTCACATCTTCAGAGAACTAACTGTATTTTTCAGTAAAGCTCTCTAAGGCATACAGCTAAGGAGAAGCACCATTAGGAGTCAGAATCGGTATCTTGTGTTGAATCAATACTCAGTAAGAAGTAGGACAGACAAACTTGGTGATATCTTTTCTTGGGCCAGCTGACATAGTGATAGGAAACAGACTAATTTTCATCTCAAAGTTCCTTTTATCAAGTAAGTTAATGACAAATGGTACACAGTAAACCATAATAAATTATGGGCAAACTATTAAATTATGACTATAAATAAATTATAATGCTTTACATGCTAAAGATAACTGAGTTTTTACGAACGTCTCAGAGTCAGGGAGAAGTACCTCTATAAATCCTCAGTTCACAGAAACGTGAAGCTCTGAGGCTGGAAATGCCAAGCAGCAAAAGTTATCATGGTCAAAAGGACAATGTTTTTACGGCACCAAAACAGGATGGCTTCTCCTAATCACACGCACTGCAGATGGGTTAAAAAACCAAATCTTCATTCAAGCAACAGATCAGCATTTGAGCCCAAGTCTTCCCTTGAAATTGTCTCCCTCGCAAGGTAGTATCTCTACCAGCCACAGCAAATAAACACTCAGCATTCATGAACAAGGTTGTTTAACAGAAATGTCTATAGCAGCGCCATAATACTTAATGCTATTTGCCTTTGCTAAGACCTAGGGTTACGGTCACTGAAAAAGATCACAGAAAAGACTTATTAAAAATATCTAGACTTACAAAGGAAACAAAAGCAGTTGCGTTCAAATTTAGTTTGCATACAAAGCTTCTTCTGTTTATAGGTCATTGACATGTGTGACGTGAAAAATGCAGGCATGATTTTCAAAGCTATTCAGAATTTAATATCTGCTTCCTCCAGGAAGCTTTGAATACTGCAGCCTGAATTCCTTTAATGAACAGGTAGTACTAGAGATGAATTTATTTTGTAAGATGCCACTTGAACAGAAAAAAAGAAAATAACAAAAAATTAAAATCATTCATTAACATCAAAATAATGCTGAGGCAGAATCCTGACCCCAGTGAAAAAGCTTTTCTGCTTTTTTCTGCTGCCCAATTTCCAGTCCAGTAGCTTTAAATCAGATAAGTAGAAGCTATTGGCATAAGTAGAGATAAGAAATTAAGTATCTCAAGTACAGCTCTGGCATCCCTACAAAGAACAGTTATTACTCTGACAAAAAATAAAAAGTTATAACATAAACATAACTGAAACCATCATAAAGTTATATTACTATATGAGAGTACACATTAGAAAAAGCAGAAAATTTACAAAAGTCTACAAAAGAAATCAGAACGCATGGCTATTATTTACATATTGTAATAAATTAATACATTATATCATTCTCAGCAGAACAATTCCTCGTCATCTAGGAAGGAGTTTCACAACAGTCATGTGACTCATTTTTACTGCATCTGGGAAATTCCTCTAACGCAATCTCCATGCTAGCAGAGCAGACATGCTGGGCACTAACCACTATATAAGCAAGATAGATTGCCCAGATCAGGCATCAGAAACCCTCTGAGACAAGAGAGGTCACTGCTCCACAGAACCAGAGCTAAGCAATCCAGCCAAAAACTCCTCTAATAATGAACAGCAAACTTGTGGCTGTCCTGGCTCTCTGCCTGATTTCGGCGGCTATGTCTCAAGGTAAGTAAATCCCTCCCACGATCCCCATGGCTGTAGTATTGTCTAGGCATCTACCGAGATGCTTGTCCTTGCAGAGAGGAAGCTTCGTATTTCTTTCAGCAAATTAGTTTCTTTCAAGACATTTTCAGTAACTTCTCTTCAGTCAGAAATCTATCATGCAGCCCTCGTACTGAAGAGTTACTGACATCTCGTGGGAAAATTTTTAAGGATGCAACTTAAATTTGCTTTGTTTCTAGTTACTGATATCTTGTGGAAAAATTTTTAAGGACGCAACTTAGATTTGCTTTGTTTCTATGTTTCACTTGAAGCGTATGCAGCTAGAGACAGGATCTTCTTCTTAAGTCTTTGAATGTTTCTCTCCTTTCCCACACAAAGAACAATTTATGATCTCATATTTGTTACTTAATGATCGTACTGCCTCAAGCAAGTAATACACTGCTGGGAACGGAGAACAAAGAATATGAACACAGAAGCATGGACAAGCCTCCGATTAATGAAAAAATCTAGGGCTCCATCTTCTGTATAGTTGCCAGTTTGTTGATCCAGATATTAATACGATGCAGCTAACTGTTTTATTTTAAAAAGATGTGTTAATTTAGCTTTAACTGTACTTGGGCATCAGCTCCTCTGAAACAAATAAGCAACTGATCTTTGTACCGTGAGGATTTAGGTAGCTTGGACAAATGCAGTATTTTAATCGAGAATGTTGTTAAGATAGAGCAGTCGCGCTTTACGGCTGATAGAGTGATGGTAAGACCACCTCTCAAACCACCATCTTCCTTTTCTGCTCGCAGGCAGGACTCTGGCAAGGATGGGAACCGAGCTCCGGTGCCAGTGCATAGCCACTCATTCCAAGTTCATCCCTCCCAAATCCATTCAAGATGTGAAGCTGACACAGAGTGGCCCCCACTGCAAGAACGTTGAAGTCATGTAAGTAGCTCTGCAAGAGCCTCCCCCTTCTTCACCTACGCTCTGCTGCTGCCGGGGCTTTTACGCTTCATGACAAGTACGACACTTAGCAGGCTGACTTGACACAGTCAGATTTGGTTAGTCTTTTGAGAGAGATGGTTTTAAGTAATCCATCCTGTTTTTCATCATCCCTACGACCTTACATATTCCTGAATGGATCATTATTTATCTGTCATGGGACATATTAAGTATTTCTGGTGGTAGAACACGAATTTCAAGGGCTAGTCAGTTCTTAATACACAAGGTAAGAATGTAGTTTAAATCCTGCGTTTATTAGGCAGGCAAAACTCCCATTAAAACGGTCTGTGTCAGTCTCAGAGAGAAAGATTAAGTTCCCACAAGCAGATTTAGGGAAACAAAACTAATCTGGTCTTGAATAGCATGGAGGGGGGATGAAAATGTTGAAATCCTTATACTGCCAAAACACCTTTTCAACACTGGAGGTTACAATCGTTGTGTAAGAAAGCTTTACTAATGTAAACAAATTCAAAGTAAGTACCCATATATATTGAGAAAAATTTCTGGGAATGTGTGACTGCTTTGAGAGCACGCACACAGACTCACACAACTTCTGGATGGTTTTAGTCTCCTTAGTTGTGGAACACATATAACAAAATGGCCAAGTCTAACCTAGAGCAGTTGGGATGAATTTATACTAACTACTCTAAAAATGCAACATTACATTCTGTGAGTAAAACAAATCCATGCAGTAGTTTCCTGACTTTTTTCTTATTCCCTGTTTTGCAGAGCTACTCTGAAGGACGGCAGAGAGGTGTGCTTGGAGCCCACTGCTCCCTGGGTACAGCTGATCATAAAGGCAATTTTGGCCAAGTAAGTCCCATTCCCTCTCAATTTGGCAGTTGACCGGTAAACCTCCCAAAAAAGCCAATTTGTAGGATTTCTTAGTGATACTTTCCATTTTTTCTTAATCAGATTTTAAAAACAAGAAAACTTGCTGCGTAATTATAGAATGAGTCTTTCTGACTCTGCTGCAGGGTCCTTGTTCAAGCCAATACATCACTACTAAACCTTTGAGTACCAGCAACTCTGTCTGGAGGGAAAACAACACAGAACTCTCTGGCTCCCTTTGAAAAATGAGGCTTTAAAAACTTAATCTTCCCCTGACTTACAGTAGCATATGTTAATAATTCCTATTTTTGAGTTAATGAGTTTCTTGATGCAAGTAAATGCAGAAAGTCATGCTGCAAAGGTTTCCTAGCTGGGCACCAGATATGCATACACTGGGATTTCAGTAATTGCTTTCGAAACATCAACTTTATTCTCTCTATGCCTCAAGATAGCACATAGTCTGTTTTAGCCAAACCAGGACACACATAGAGTTGGAAACTGACCACTCATCCTTAACTGTTTGTGCAATGCTAAGCAATGACAACCATTCTTGAGCCGCCTTTGAAATTATCCTCTTCCCTCACCTCTTAACAGAGCTCAACTCAATTCTGACTCACCGCTCTGAGAAACACCAGAACACAAAAAATCTGGGAACTGCTCCTGCTCCTCCATTGAGAGAAACATTCAGGAAGGGCATCATTCAGACAGCGTACCATCTTCCACCTCCTGCATCAGTGTTATGATGTTAATTATGGATTATTTTGCTTATTTATTTATTTATTTATTTAACTGCATCTCTTTAAGAAAGTCTTTCAAAATGGTCAGTATGGTCTGTGGGACACGCTGTTCATTGACACTGAAGACGCTGAATAGGAAAAGTGGTTTGCTAAAGGGAATGAAGAATCCTTGGCAGTCACTTCAGCTAAACACAACAGTTAAGTGCAATGCACTTACAGCACAGCTTATTTACACTAAGCCTTGCTATTTTGCTATAACACCAGCAAACTGATCAATCCTCCTGCTCCCCTGGAGTACACTAGTATGTTGTGTCAACAACAGTTTCCTGAACCACAGTCAGCCTGTGGCTAGACTGTGAACTGTGATTTCTGACTTTAAAAATCTAGCCTACAGAATCTGTAAGTTTTGGTAAATATTTATTGTGATTTCTATGGTATTTATAAATGTATTTATTGAGTAGTTTCTATAAAGAGAGAAAACTATGATAATTTATTGAATTTCTACTGGATTTTCCATTCCTACTATTTATTTCTTAAGAAATATTCAGTCTTATTGCTCTGTACAAGGACTTGGTTGTATGTCTAATTAGCTACTCAAACAGCCAATGGAAAACTCTGCATCTTACATACACAGAATTTACTTGTGAGAGTGAAATTATTCCTAACAATGTATTATTAAAGTTTTCTTAAAAAAATCTATTTGTTATCTGCTTGTTATTTTACATTTTCATTTGCTTTATCTGGAAACAGTCTGCTTCATTTTTGCGACCTCAGCCCGATTTCTGGAACTGAAGAAGAAAATGTGTTGAGAATGGCTAATAGTTATTCAGAACTGTAGTTATTCTGTAGATAATAGTTATTCAACCTGTTACGGTAACCTGACATTACTGAATGCAGCAACAAAGTCTTAGGGTAGGGTAAAATGCTCGCTCACCTCTCTTCAGGCTGTTCCCAGTCCTTGGGGACTGGTGGGCTGTGGGGCAAGGCTCCTTGTTTAAGTACCTTGCAGATAAGTGAATTTTACCCTCAAACGCCTGAACACTGCCAGTGTCCAGATCAGCCCCAGAGTTGTAAATCTGTACTACATCAAAAGGCCACTATTTGACTACCAAAATGGGAATTTGTGACTTTTACTTTGGGTACCCAAACATCAAGCATCTGGCCTTATGTATCAACAGCTACCTATTCTGATCCCTGAAATGGAGAGCACCAGGTACACTTTTATTTCACTTTTACCTATGATTTAGATAGCTTTAAAACAGCAGAAGGATTTTTGCCAGGTAATTTTGTGAACATAAAATAAGACAGCTGTCTTTGGCTTGCTTCTTCTTGAAGACCCTTAGCAGTAAGATTGATGTCAGTCCTCTCCTTGACCCATATTATTTGGCCATCAGTTTGAGGTGTTCAGCCACTTGAACTCTAAGCAATGTGCCCTGTGGCCCTCCAGTTATCAGGCCATGCAGAAACCATAGGATAAAACTGCGCCCTTTGAAAACATGTAAACTATTTCGTAAGCATATTTGTGTGTGTGTGTGTGTGTGTGTATGTGTGTGCATGTCTGTGCAACACATCAGAAAGCTGCCCAGGCAGTGAGTGTAAGAGTCAGGACATTTGCACCACAACGAAAGGAAGGACTCTGAGATTTCACTGCAGCTGACTACATGTTCTTGTCCATCTTCTCCTTTTCCCAGTCTCATGTAAGCTTCTGCTCCCCTTGGCCACTTCATTTAGCATCTAAATTGTACTTCTACAACCCTGTCGGAAGGCCATTCCATGTTACAGCCGCCCAGTGTATTCAGCACCTTCCATTCATTTCTCTACTGCCCTCCCCACAACTAAATGTATCAGAGGTGTCTACATGTCCGTTTTGCACTCAGCTATTTTCTCGTTCCCTTCCTTCACCTTCCTTCCAAACCAACAATTTCAGTCTGGGGGCAAGAGGACAGTAGCACCAACCAAGCAAGAAGCTCCTGGCAATTCCTTACCCTCAGACTCCCCCTCTCATGCCTGGTTGCTGTAGTTCTGCTCTTGTTATTGAGAGTCCTTTCAATCACGAACTGTAATTTGTTCCCTCAAGTTTCAATGTCACTGTTCTTCTAACACCAAAAGTATGTTTCTCTCTAATGTATAAATGCTGCAAACCATAGAGGAAGTCATTGAAAGAAATACTGGAAAGTCCCTGAAAAATACTTTTAACTCTTCCTTAGAAGAACAGAGAATACAAACATTGGTTTGCTGGCCTCCACTTCTCTGTCTGCGCTGAATATTGACTAATACAAACATCCTGGTTATGTATCAGGTGACAGATGTATTATCCCTGCTTTACTTGCTTTTACTTATGGATTGCTTCCCATTCTGGAAAGGACTGTATTTCTTACGCTGTTCACATAACATGGGAAAATCCCAGGACAATTACACATAGCGCTGGCTTGATAACTGCAGACTTGTTCCAAGCATTGCATTTATTCTTGTTTATAACACGATATTATGAGCGACTCCACAGGAAACAGATCCTGTGGAAACTATACAGACTACCATGGAAAATTTTGGGGCAGCAAACAGGCATTTTGTTTCTGTATGCAAAAGTGAAACAAGTATTTTCCCACCCATAAAAATAAGCCTGAGATCTCTGTTGTTGAAAACCACCATGAAAATTTATTTTTAATGTAACCTGCAGTTAATTATTTTTAATAATAACTATAGTGCCAGTCAGTGCACAGATGACTTCACAATTTCTGTGGATTTCTAGAGAGGAAGATACTATGTGCGAAAGAATCTGGAAGGTAGGCTGAGAATCTAAGTGCAATTTGGAAATTACAAAAGCATTAAGCTGTTTTCCTTTAGTCAGATCTAATGCTTAGCAAGAGTTCAAGTGCAAACTCTGCACTATTACAGCTGTGTATCTACAGTACTTACAATGCATTTTCTTCAAACCCATCATACTTTTGGCCTACTCAGCATCTTGTGATAATGACTTCTACTGTTTAATCACACGTTGTAGAAGTGCACACATCTGGTTACTTTCAACATGACATGTTGAAAGCAATATCATTTTCTCATATTTTCTCTTTCTTTTTTTCCCCATAATTCCTTTCCAAATGCTTCCTAAAACACCAGGTGCCTTTTTGACCACCATAAGATATTGTACACAGTTCTATAAAAACATCAAACTGTGACACCCAGATCTATTTCCTTGGTGACAATAGCTAATTTACAATTCTTTCCGGGCATACAGAGTCAGGTTATAGGTATAACTAGGCTCAATGATACTGTTTCATCTGCCCTTTCATGAAACAGGCAGCATGGTGACACCTTTCTACAGCTTCCTGCAGGCAGATTTCAACGTAGCTATGCCCAAATAATTTTGCATCATTAACAAATATCATTTATTTTCAACAGTTGTCAATCTTTGGCAGGTCCAATTATCTTATTCAATGAAAGTTAACATTTACCAGGAACATGATCAATTTTTTTGGAAAAATAAGTTGTACTAGGTTGATCAGATCCCACTTGCCTGTATCTCCACAGGCTCAGACAATGACTCTAGCAGCTATGTGAAGTAAGAGTTTTCCCTCCAAAGGGCACACCGGCAACTCCAGTATCAGTCCACCAGTTTCTCCTATTCCTTACTGGAAGACAGGCAAACTGGGGAAAATCTAATATTTTTTTCTTTTGCAGAAAACTATTTTTCATACATATACACCTTATAAAAATCTGTGGAATAAGAGGTCATTAGACAAGCAGCTTGTTTTGAGAGCACATTTAGATCCAGTTAATCACCTTACCTCTAAATGAGTCTTCAGTTTTTGAGAAGGCAGTGGAAAGAGGAGAGTTAAGCAGCTTTTCTGACTCAGCTAATACAAAATACCAGAATGCCAAAACCATTTTTTAAGTACTGAAGCAACACTCACACTGAGCTCCTGAGATTAATGATTTCTAGCTTTTCCTTGCAACTATTTTCCAGAATGATGAAAGCTCCATAGCCCATAAGAGGACCAAATGAATAAGTCCACCCTCTTAGCCTATTTTTTTTATGAAAGATTTATCTTACATGCTTCCACAGAAATAATAAGACTTCAAAAATACTGACAATTCTTCTTTTCCTCCTCTTTTTTTGAGGTCACATTTTCTTCAAGATTGCAGGCAGACAAGAGAATCAGAATTCAACTGTCCTTGCTAAAACCCAAATGTCAATAAAATTGTAAAAGCTTGAAATACTCACCACTTCTATTTAGCATTAGGGAGCTCCTCTGTAAATGTTTCTATTGCATTTGTTGACCTTTTTATTATGTAAGGATCTCATGGAGAAGAGAGCCTTCTCTCATATCCAGGGACTTGGATACACATTTCATCTTTTTTTCTGCCACCAAGTCAGGGCAATGGGTGTATTTATGGTTCTTGGATTCATATCTGCTCTTTCTTGGCATTTTTGTCTTGCTATGAAAGTAGGATCAAGACATGAGTGTGAAAATGCTGAGGGGATCTTGAATGAACTAACATTCCCAGGATTAAGAAAGAAAACTGTCAGGCCCCTGGGCTCCTGCTCAGCCCGCTGTCCTCTGAACCACGCTTGTGTCTGGGACAGCCTGTTCAGATTACCCTGATGGGACAAACAAGGTTAGAGGGCTGCTTCTGCTCCACAGGGGATGCAAGCCCAGAGTCTCAGGGGATTGACTTCAGGATGCTGAGGGGTGCCTGGCCTTTGAGTTTGAGTCAAGCCTCTGCCACCTAAGCTTCTCTCTTATTTATTTCATCTCACTTCTGCTGTCTTATTATCACTGAACACTAGGCAATTTAAAGGAATCGGGCGGTGCCAGGGAGAATTTCCCTCCGGGAAATAATGAATGACTTACTTAAGAGAAACTAAAATATAGGCAGGTGATAGGAA